GGGGGGGGGGGGGGGGGGGGGGGGGGGGGGGGGGGGGGGGGGTATGGGGGCATGCAGTGATGTATCCGAGAGGGGGGAGGGAGAGAATGCTGGGACACACCTCGCCGCCGCTGCTGCCGCCGCGGATGGGGAGACCGGTCTCCTCTCCCCTCACCTCCCTGGACACAATCAGCAGAAACTCTGACTGGTGGTCCCGCCCGTAGCCTACACTGACAAGCTGCAACAACCAATCAGAGCACAGAAGGGAGGGATCATTCTGCAGGTACACAAGGCCACAGTCATCAGGCTCAGATCACAACCGCTGCGGCTTTGACGAGTCTGTGCGAGTCTGGAGGGGTGTGAGGAGCAGAGCGTATTGTGTGTGTGGCATACGGACACAGTGTACACACAGGCGGGCGGCTGCTGTAACACACACACACACACACACACACACACACACACCCTCAGAAAGGTAACAAGGAACACACAACACTGGCAAAACGACACAGACGAGGGAGTGGAATGGAGGGAGACACAGGAGGGGCAGCATGCCTTCCCAGAATGCTGTGCAAGCCTAACATTAATAACTACAAGTATTTTTATATCCAGATGGAAAGCAATGAATGGATGAGATGCACACCAACATAATATGAACCACCTGCATAAGAGCAGAGATTTAGTGGATGTTTACCTTAAGGGGACAGGATGTTGCTGACATACCACATACATCACAAGCACATACTGACCTGACAAATAAAAGACAGGCGATTCCTATCGTGAAAATGAAGCCGTGAGCGTCAATGCATGGGCAGCTATGCATTACCCAGCCAGTCACAAAGAAGCCAGAAAATGTATTTAAGGTTTTTTTTTTTTTTTTTTTTTTTTTTTTTTTTTTTTTAATTTGGCAATATTTCAAGCTAAAGCTATTAAAATCCAAATATATTAGCCTATACACAAGCCAAGTATTCAGGTAGGGCCATATCTAAAAAATAAAATTATGTATAATTAACTTTGAAACTGTTCCATGAATCATCCAAGGACTATTTTAAGCCTTTAACATTCCTGTATGCTTTCTACAGTTTCTGCCCTTAAGCACATCGTACCCTTATTTTACTTACTATCTACCAATTTTATATTTACACTTTATTAAAGACCTTTTAATAAAAGGCAACCAAGCCAGCCAACACAGATGATTGCCATGCTCACACATAAGGTATGCAGCCTTCTGGAAGCAGAGCAGAGTGCTGCCCATTACCTGAGGCTATTTATGGAACAGCAAGGGAAACGCGAGAGGGGTGGGCGGGGGGTTTCTGGAAGGAGCTTCCTTAAAACCAAGCACGAGGAAACAGAGCGCGGCACCGCTAGGCGTGTCACATGTTTGTTACCATCTGATACAGTAGTTCTCTTACAGTCCCTTTACATAGTATAAATAGATTCATGAACAGATCCCGTAAGATGGGTAAACAAGTCACTGACAAATATGAGAGTTTACAGCAGTGAAAATGTAGGCTACAGCAAGGTTAATACGAGGTTCTTCCACTGGAAAAGTCCAATTATGACATCCATTAATATCCAGGAAAATACTAGAGTCCTGACGTCCATCTGGATAGGGCAAGTCTATACCGCATTCAAAATATGGACTGTGGCAGGGAACTAGGAGGAAGCAAAAACGTGGATGGATCCCCAAGGACCGGGATCAGAAACACTGGCCTGATACCTGTGTGGTTGTTTGAAATCACATGAAGGTGGACTGTTTAACATCTGACAATAACACGCCTTTCACACTTATTTCAGCTGCTGCCTCGTGAGAGACGTCACATCTCCGCTATAAAGTAGCGTTGTATAAAAAAAAAATTTAAAAACGTCATCATGGATGCAAGTGAAAGCAGAAGTTTCACAAAACATCACAATGTTTGTTTGATGACTGTTTGTAGGAGGTGAAAAAAATCACCACAACCTTCTAGGTCAAAAAGCTGAGTGCCAAGAAAGAGATGCAACTCCTTAAGTCATAAAATTCATAACTAGTAGTAATGGTAACTGCTGGCCTACAGGACACGGTCAACCAGTTAGCACTGACGGCATCCACCCTGGGCGTGAACAGCAGGAAAATAAAGTATTTAAGCAAATTAGTTATGAGGCTGGAAACTTCAGTGTGACGTTGCCTCGAACAGGCATTAGTAACAGCTGCATTAAAACCAAACTGAATACACTGGAAAGGTCTGTCACACAAGTTGCATCCGGGACTCATTTACTCCTTTTAGCCCAAGATGCTGAAAGGTAGATCATGCACCTACATTAGACATATTCAAAAAGAATGACGACATTTACAGAAATCGTAATTGACAGAACAAATGAAAGCAGGACAATGGCTGCAGGACGCTGTGATGCTTAAACATGCTCCGAGGACACGACACATGGACAGACATCACGGCATGAGCATGCAGCGTATGAGGGCGACTCGACGGTTATGGAGATTTAATGCCATTTCAAAATGTGGATAAAGTTCACCAAAACTCTCACAGCCTGAAGAACACTACTTCAGGTATTTATAATGAGAGGTATACCGGCCATCATGAGTTACCATTCTGAAAGTGAGAGGGTTGCCTGCTTCATTAGACTTCTTCACTGTTTAAATAGTGGTACAGCATTATCCCAGATAGTCCAATAATTACAACCAGTGTCAACACTTCTGAGTAATACTATTTTGGATCAGATTGTGTCCAGACTCTGCCAGGATTCATAAACATTTAAATCATTACATTATGGGATGTTTCCTTGAGATATAATAGGATCATACCATATCGTATTTGAAGACTCTTAGAATGGATGGAAAAATGGGAGAACCCAATTTCTGACAATGACAGCATATCTACCCAATCTGTGATACTGAAACCGAAATAACGTCACTGCAGATTTCATTTAATAGATAAGCTGTAGGCATCCCGCACCTTCATGCTTGTCTCAAGTAATTTATAGTCTTGATTTAATCTGAAGTGAACTTAGAGCTGCATTTTCACAGGAATGTTGTAAGGGACTAACTCCAGAATACAAGTCATTTGAGAGGGTGTCCCTCAGGGATAAGTTTTGGTTCCAAATGTTCCAGAATAGTTCATCAAGTTAAGTTAATGAAACATCTAAGTACTACTCAGACCAAAAACAAAAAGCACAAGTTGTATCTTCACAAGATGTATTTAACAAATCAAAGGGGTTTCCAAAGAATCTTAGTGTAACTTTCCTGACTATAGAATTATAATCCAAATTATGATTAATCCTAAAACCACAATCAAGTCATTACTATACGATGGCTACTTCTGGAAAAACAAAATAAACACTGATATTTAGATGACTTATTGTAGTAGTCTATACAAATCACACTGAGCAGTACCACGAAGGGGATTAGTTCTATTTATACATTGTTCCAATGCATAAACGAAGCTTAGTGGCACTGCAGTTCAACAGAAAATGTAGTTTGACCTTTCTGGACAATGTTTAAAGCATGACAATAGTTCTAGAGAGAGACTTGAACATGTGATGCAAAAAGGTTCAGAAATTTCCAAAGCCCTCAGGTTTCCTCTTTAGACAGCGGGGTTACCTGCTCAAACTTCCAGCCGTCGGACATGGTGGAGACCATCTGCGTAAGCTCCTCCTCCTGGCACTGCAGGACTCTGTACACGTGCTTAATGGGCACCTGGGGGGGTTAGGGGGTGGCAGGAAAGTACGTCACTGCTGGGAACATTCAGAGGAAACAAGCCCTGCGTTTGATAAAGTCACGGATATTCAATTCCGGCCCCAAGGGACCATATCCAGTCTCTTATTACACCCCTAAAAACTTAATAGGTTCCGCAAAGATGATTCTTTGAATCTATTGAACCAGTGTCTGGGTGGAACAAAACCTTTCCAACTATATGTCTCCTGGACCATCAACAGACGGGCCAGCTTAAAAGCCTACAGTCTGTACAGAACCAAGTTCTGGGGCCCGGCTCAGCGAGGACTGGCCATAACAGATTATTTTCCTACTAAATAACCTGGTAGACAATTCCAATGAGTGAGAAGGAGGAAGTCAAGTATCCACAGATAGATAAGATATATAGATAAGACAAACATGTCCACTGAGGACAGAGGGCTGGACTGGGGCCACCACCTTTAACAAGGCTTGGAAACCCCAGGGGCTTTTCACAGAACTAATGAAGGACGCCACTCTGGGACTCCGCAGAAAAACAGCGGCGGTCTGCAGGGGATCGCAGCAGATGCTCTCTGGCTCTGTGTACAGCCTGGTGGTGAAGGAGCTATCCCCCGGTCTGCACTCCATTCCTAGTTAATGATATTTGCTCTGATTTCTTAAAGCATTTCCCGGCACGTTTCTAGCAGTTTGGTGAAAACCAGGGTTCCCCTGAACTGCACTGCTGTCTCGGCCATGAGGGAGTCGCCAGCACACATGGGCCCGGACCGACACGCCGGCTACAAAGCGAGCTGCCAGCTCCGCTGAAGAGCTAATTAGCACAGACACCTCAAGTCACTCGCACAAATACCAGACAGACCAGATGTTACCAGACAGCAGATACGGCAGAATTTAAAGCACTGGTTATTAAAACTACAGGCAGCTCTTTCCGCTTTGGTGACATTCTATAGAGAACTTGCTGAAGAAGCTCTTAAAGATCAGTGGCAGGCAAGTAAGTGGGAATCCAACTCTCTGCCTCTGCTGCACATATCAGATGAAGCCGACTCCAGGGCCCCTATGGGCCAAAAGAATTTCTGAGCGTTTCCTGAGGAATCCCTCCTTGATAAGGGAACTACACTCTCCGCATAACTGAGGATAAGTGTGGCGAGGCTTTGACCTTGGGAGGCACCACGGATTCTGCAGTGGCCCCTCTTTGCTGCACACAACACAACCACTTGTGACTGGGTTACAGCTTATGACAACATTACATTCATCTAGCTGCTCACCTTGAAGTAAAAGCAGGCTGCTTGAAATTCAAAGTGAACTGTTATAAACAGGGAAAACTTAAGGGAAGAATATGGACCCTCCTTCCCCAAAGTATTATGGCACAGTGATGAATTCCCTCACTCAGCTGCTGAGGTGAGGGCATGATCTAACCAAAGCCAATACCATCGCTCAACATTGTCTAAAGCAGCGTTTCCCAAATCTGATCCTTGGGGACCCCCAGACACGCTGTTTTTGCTCCCTCCCTGCCAACCTGTGCACATTTTTCCTTCCTCAAAATGTGGAGTCTGGGAGTTCCTGAAGACCAGGTTGGGAAACGGTCTAAAAGTACTGGAATATCCCCAGAAACCTATTTAAGAAGGGTTCAGGCAAGAGGAGGCCAGGTTACCTGTGATGTTTTGCAGTCCCTCTCCCTGATCTTGTCTTTGATGAGCTTTATCAGTGATGTGATGTTGTAAAACTCTGCTTCTTCCAGTACACCTTTAACATAAGGAGGGGAGGGAGGAATCCCATCAGTCACACAAGGAATGCACATAATTAGTAAACACTGTGCAGCGCAGGTTATGATAGGCTGCTGCCGTACAGGTCAATCAGGCCCATACCTTCCTCGGCCAGATCTTTGTTGAGGACCAGCTTGCCGTGCCTCAGATAGTTGAGCACTGGGCCAAAGTATGTTGGGTCTCTGTCTATTAAATAGGCTCCTGTATCATCCTGGAGAAAGAAAAGAGCAACGTTAGGAGTGAGCTCAGTGGGTCAGACAGACGACTGCTTAGAGAGAGTTAACGGATCACAGAAACATCCAGAACAGAAACTTCTGTCAGAACCATTAGCCTCCCATCCTAGTGATGAGGAACAAATGGTTTCCACAGAAGTTCTGTGAAAGAAATTTGGAGAGATCATGTTAAAAGCCGGCAGGCCTGGCAGTGTTAACGGCACTAAGGACAAGGAGGCTAGAATCCCTCTTCCATGCTTTCAGAGAGCTGCTCATGTGGAGGGAAAAGGCATCTTAAGGCTGACTTACATCTGTGTAGAATCTACACCATAGGTAGCCACATAGCCTATACCTTAGCCTGATACCTGTAGTTACATTCCTGGGAGGTATGTGTATGATATAGGCTACGTGGCTTCCTACAGCACAGATTCTGTGCAGAAGCAAAAATCAGCCTTTACTAACATGGCTTGGAAATCATGATCCTATCTAACAATGAAAGGAACAAGTTCCACTTGTATTCCTGGTCTGTGGAGTGGAAAAACAGATGCAATGCAAATATGTACTATACTGATCTAAAAGGCGACTGCATTTACTCCTGAACTGTAGATAAACTATCACCTTTCACCTGAAAGGGTAGCAAGAAGCTCACTCTAAAATGAAAGCTGTGATCCAGATACATGGAAATGAAAACAAGTTTGACATAAAAATACAAGCTGTACAGAGTCGAGTAAAACTTGACATGTAAAATTACCCAACATACAACAAAAAGAAACACTTTAATGAGGAGAAAGCAAAAAAATCCCACTGAATAAAATCAGCAATGAGAAGCCTTAAGTTGTTACAAATCTACAAATATGCATCTAGGAGTTAATGCCGGAAAAGGCTAAGTCAACAGAGGCAGCATTACAGAAATTCATTAAAACCACAATAAGTGGCCACAGCGCTCCATTTACTTGCACTTCCAGGTCTTAAAATCGGATGCGTTCAGCGTCTCCAGAAAGAGACAACAAAAGGAAACCGCAACTACAGTCCATTTCAGAAAGAGGAAGAGTGACAGGGAAATACTTGTTTATGATGAATGATGACTTCCTGGCAGCTCGAGAGCAGCCTGGCTTAGAGTTTCAGTAAATTACTGTGTAAGCAAATCACAGAAAAAAAAAAACAAAACGCAGAGACGATCTGAGGCCAGTGTGAGTAAGCTTCACCTAGAACTCAGGTAAGAAAGCCTAGGATGCTGGTGCTGAAGACAGACACGACCTCGTTCAGGAGGGAGAGGGAGGCAGTTCACGTGAAAAATGCACAGAAGACACAAAGGATACAGTGTTTTTAATTAAAAGTGAGAAGCCCTCTCTGGAGTGCGTGGCCATGGGACACTAATGAACGGATGATGAGATTTGAGGGCAGAAAAGGAGGCCCAGTGGAGAAGGCCGACGTGGTAAACAGTGCAGCAAGAAGCTCCTCCTGAAAGCCCGACCTGAAAGCCACTTTCACACATCGAATGCTTTTAGAACCACAGAAACATTCATTTTGCAAATCACATAGCAACTAATTTGGATACATCTGGGATTGTTTCACAATTACAACCGGGACCGTTCCATAGTTTCCTAAAAATAGGAAATACCACGTAACACACAGAACAGAAACACAATCAAACAAAAAAGTAACACCTTTCTCCACCGCAACACTACAGTGAAACTGAACTGCGTCTGAACCATTTCTATGATGACTAAATAACCTCATGCTTACTGAAGAAGTGCTTTCTTTTGGGTCATCTGGTCACTGGCCATGGCATCAGAACTACTGCCAAATTCCCCTCTCCTCGTTTGGAGAGCAGTACAAACAGAGCAAAGAGCATTCTAAAGACTTCCCATATATGGGGGAAGGAGAGAGCTGGGACGCATGATACGTAATGTTTCAGCAGCTGTTAGGAATCATTTTACAGGATTAGGACTGTTCTCTATGACAAACATGCTTCTGTTCTATGGAGTAAAGTACCAGGGGTTGATAAGTTACTGTTTATGAAAACGCAAACTTACCACATCTCAGTTGACAAACAAATATGAAAGCGATGGCTATTATTGTTACCACACAGTACCGTTCTGTGTAGTTAGTCCTACAGTTTGGTTTAAACTCATGTTTGATGTGTGTAGGAGGACTGATTAGCCAGAATGAAATTTCAATCATGCAATTTCAAAAGAACATTTTACTTTACAGGCGGAGATTAAGAGGGCAGAACATCACCATCACGCATTTGAGTCATGTGATGTTACCTCAAATGCCTTTTAATGACGTCTAATGGAAAAATACTTTCCACATAAACAAATTAACTCAATAACAAGTGATATAAAAACTACTGAATGTGCTTGATTATTTATCGGCTTAATTCAATCTTCATGACTAAATTTAACAGTTATTAGGACTGGCACAACTGGAACACAGAACAGCGGATGTGTCAATCATGCGTCTGTGAAGATGTCTGTGCCAGGTAGGTGTAATTCCCCACACAGGAACAGGCACCAGGTCCTTGACATGTAAAACCCCAGAAACACCCTCTAATCCAAGGATGATGATACAGGGCAACTTTTTGGGCAATGTTACTCAGGGACTTTCCCATTGATACCAAGCAAATTTCTATTTGAAAAACTCTCATCGGCAATGGGGAACTTTTTGCGATCATCCAGATCCAGATGGAGTTGCCTTTTGCCTCATCTGGTTGGCAACTGCCTGGCCACACTGCTCAAAAAGCTGTATCACCACCTTAAGAGAAAGGATGAGCACTGAGAAGAGAAAGAGAGAGAGAGAGAGAGAGAGAGAGAGTCACTCTTAAGGAGGCTGCCCACCTGCCTCACCTGAGGCACTGACCTTCACCAGATCTGAATATCCTTCCCGGAGTCTCGGCATGGGGGCTCCTGCTGAAATCTCAGCGCTGCCAGAAGGCTCTGACACCAAGGACGCAGAGACAGAACCGCTATATAAAGAGCCATGTGTTCCACTCACTGTGGACAGAGGCATACCCATTGTGGACAGAGGCATACCCATTGTGGAGAGGCATACCCATTGTGGACAGAGGCATACCCATTCAGTCGGGACGCACGCCATCTTAGAGGAACAGACCTCACCAGCTCCTACAGGAATACCTATATGTAGAGCGATGCATTACCCAGCAGCTCACCGTACAGAAACCTCTGAGGAATACTGCTGGTTATAGTCACTGTACTGGTTCTGCTTAACGCCCAATCCAGCTTCTGGGTTTCGTTACTCATTTAGACCCACATCTAATACAAAAAATGACCTTAAAGCAATATTGTGTTTAATGTCTTAAAAGTACAGACAGTTTTTTTCCTTATGCAGAAGGCCCAGAGGAAAACAGACGAAAGAGATAGTCTAGATCAGGAACCCAACAGCCCAAGGGACTCAAGATCCTGTACTTTCAGGCAACGGTGTTAAATTGCTGTGTGCTATGGACAGATAAGCTCTCTCCGGTGTGCAGACTTAAATGAGAAATAAAAAGCATAAACAAATCGTCCAAACTGACCTACTAACCTCAGGCAGTTTTTCACTGCTGAACAACCAGAGGGATAGAGCTTCAGAGTGTTATAGGCCTGGTGCTCAATGTCACCTGACAGCTGAATGAAGCACGAGGCAGATGGGACCCAAGGGCATCAAATAAGCTTCAGTTTCTGGGTTCAGATAGCTTCAAAACTAGGTTTACTGTTGCATTTAATTCCAAATTAAGAGGATGTTAAGGTGGCCACCATTGTCGCCTCACACCTCTGGGGTTAGGGGATGAAAGTCCAATCATAATTTCATTTGCTCTCTGTGTTACACGAGATTTCTCCTGCAGTTATGTGAATTCCAGTCTCTAAATCGTCCATAGAGTGTAACTGTATGTGTAAGCATGCATGTGCCCTGAGATAAGCCCCAACTGCCCACGACCCTGCTTCAGATAAGAAGCAGGCAGATGTATGAGGTGACATTTCAAGGGCATGTTAACTGTCTGAGGTCACCCTCCAACCATCACAGAATCTGTACATGCACCGTGCCACACCCACCTTTTCCACACAGGCAAGTACATCAAATTCCTAACTTAATAAATATTAGGAATGCAGCTCTGATTTTACCAGTGACTACAGGGAAAAATACCCATCCTAATGACAAACAGTTCACGACCATTTTTAGCCAAAGTAATGCCATCCCGTATATAAATATGGCACATTTTGATAACCCATCCCCATAAATCGAAAGACACTTTATTATTAGCATACATCTAAAAACAGTCCTTAGCCTATTAAGTCACTGTATAGCGTCCCCCAGCTGCACCCCCCCTCCCCCACCAGGACAGCTACACCTTTGCTGCATGAGCTCACAACAGCTCGATGTGCAGCTACATTCCTACCTAAAGCTCCGCCTGATGAATAATGCAGAACGCTTCCAAAAGTACCAGTCACCTGAAACAAAGCTATCGATTCCCAGTGCGGGGAAATACAATATGGCCTTCATGAAAAAAATAAAAGCTAGCAGACACAGATAGCAGGGAAAACAGGGGATGGAGTGTGAAAGCAAGAAGCCTTCAAGATTCCATCAGCTACACTTACCTAAGTGTAAGCAACCATCATACCACAGGGCTATACTAACATGGCATCTATACAGTAAACCTGACCAAGTCATATGCCCAACCTGGTTGAAGTAACATCAGAGGCTTTAGCAGGCTACCAGATTCCTGCTGGCCTACCCACCCCCTCAGCTCAGCGTTTCTCTCTGTAAAGAGGCACCATAACTGAATGAATGAACGCTTTGACAAGCCAGAATGCCACCTGGGGGCACCGGGAGAGGGAATTCACCAGAGTGCCGTCAGCAGGGGGTGGACACAGCGGGCGGCTGTCACGACCCCTCACCCAGCCAACCAGACTCTGTGCCTAAGCCATATGATACTTAAATTAGAAGGGGGGGGGGGGTAGCAGACATCACATGGTAGAGCACTGACTGATGCACTGTTAAG